TGTATTTCACCAAACAATAATTTGATGTTTTGCTCTTAGGTTTGGTATTTTATTGAAAAAAATGATTTGCGAGGGTTTTAGTGGCATATTATATCTACGTGTTTTGCAGCAAAAAAGCGGGCAGTGTAGCCCCCAAAAACAGTGCATCTCTGTGCTTCTCCGTAATAAAAATGTACCTAAAAATACTTAAGAAATGCAGGAGGCCCTGAACATCCATCACAGGTCAACAGTCCAACGTACTACGCGTGGCCTACTCCCTTATAAAATCATGTGTCATGGGCGAGGGACACCAGTAATGCATTGTGAAATATGGTCTAGTGATTAGGCCCTGGGACTCTCTACCATACGGTCGTGGGGTTAAGTCCCGTCCCATTAGGGGGGAGGCGAGGGGGGAGGGGGGGCAGGACGTTGTTGTCACTTGGAAAGGCACTTTACAGGAATTTATTTTCTTCACTTCGCCCAGTTGAGAATGGGTCACCCTTTATAGACAACAAAGAATATCAATGCAGCTTGGTAGTGTTTTAGCGTGTGTGTAATCCGCAGACTGCACTGAATGCTTCCTGGTCTAAAAGAAAGGACCATAGCTGTCTTGTGTTATTGTTAGTAGAGTGAGAGGACTGAGGACTGATTCTCTCCAATCCAAACTGTCTCCGTAACTGAGATGTGAGGAGATGACAGTGCTTGTCTCGACTGTTTCAGTTTGTCCTACATTTCTGTAATGACTAACAAATGTTTGAGTGTACCCTACATTCCTGTAATGACATTACAAATGTTTGAGTGTACCCTACATTACTGTAATCACATAAAATTACTAATTATATACTTAAATAAAAATCAGGGGTTCTGCACTTTTCAATCGTGCGATTTGGTCTTTTATGATTTGGTCTTTTAAACTTTGACCAGCTGTCCAAGAGGGATGGGCAGGACTGGGTTAGCTTCCCTTCCTTACTCCATACCCCAAATAGTTTAAAGTGAAATGCTGTGGTGGTGGTGGAGGGGGGGGGGGGTTAATTTAGGTTCAACAAAACCCACTAAAACTGCAGGTCGGAGTCGCAGGGAACGTTGACCTGATCTCAAATTCATTCAGTTAAAAAAGGAAGTACTGCAATGGTCTGTAAACTACAGTCTGAAGTTTTGACCTGGCTCATTCAGTATAAAATAGAACTATCCGGCCAGTGCTCAATATTTCTTACAGTCATCCGGCCCACTTTGAGAAAAGTTTGGTGGCGTCTGATTTAGTTCTTTAGAACATCATGATGAGCAATGGACCCTGGTTGCCCACAGTAAGACTCTGGAACTGTTATAATTTTTTACCCCCTGTTTTAAAAAAAATGGTTTGAAGTTTTTATCAGCCCTGTGTGCCTCTATACTGACTTTGAACGTTTGCAGTACATGTATTTTGTATAGAGTGTCCTTAGGGACGTCGTGCAGGTGGGTGTGATAGAACATAACTTTGGCTGTCATGTCGGAGGTTTTATGTTATTTTGTCGGCCTTTCACAGACTGTGTGTGCAGATTTGGAACCTGTAGTGGATGAGCAGCTAGAGCGAGCCCACCATGGACTTTGACAGTCAGAGTATGGTGAGCAGCGTGAGCCGGCAGAGCTTTGAGAAGCCGGGCTCAGACATCAAGAAGATGGGCTACCTGAAGAAACTGAAGGTCAGTCACCGGCGCCGTCGCTCTTGTGTTTGTTTGTCGTCAGGAGTGTTTGTCTCAATTGTCTGCAGGGTTGGTGATTTTTTTGATTTAAAAAAAAATAATAGATTTTTAAAATTTAAATCAGATTTTTTAAATTTAAATCGGATTTTTTGGATTTTTTGGATTTAAAAAAAAATGCCGACTCAGTTTGGGATTTTTGGTGGCTAAAAGTAAGTTCTTTTAGTGCAAAATGCATTATCTTTATTTTAACTAATGATTGATTTAAGCAACTGCAATTTTAGAAAGCCTTAATCTGCTATATCAGTGAATTATGGCTACAGACAAAAAATGAAGAAAATGTCAGTCTAAAAGGAAGGAGGGGG